GTCAATGTGAATATTCACATTGACATGTTAACATGCACATTGATAGGAATGTAGAATTGGTTCGCGGCTCGTGGACTGCCCAAAGCCAGCCTACGGCCTCGGGCAGGCTGGTTTGGGTTCGGGCCTAAGCACGTCCGAGCCCCTAGGCTAGGGCCTAGGCCATCACTTTGAAGCCTGACCCAGCCCATCAGCTCACTTAAGACCCATTCAAGGCTTGCTCCGAGGCCCAGCCCGCCCGAGGCGCAATGTCTTTTTTTTGTGAAAAATAATAAAATTTTGGTAGAAAAAATTAAAAAAAAATGGCCAAGCCCGACCTAAGCTCGAGGCTAGGCCCAGGCTCACCGGCCCGACCCGAGCCTCGATCCATCGGCCCGTCCAAAGCCCGAATGCCCTTGTGCCAGTGCTTGGGCCTGGGCCTAATTTTTGGGCCCGTGGGCCAGGCTGGGCCGGCCCGGATTTTTTCGGACACCCACGAGGCTCGATATGGGCCGGCCCGGGCCTCTACGCATTGATGAGATGAATATTCACATTGACGATATGAACATTTACATTATGGGTATTTTGGTAATTATGTCTCCCATAGGACTTATTGAAACATAAGAAAATAATGTGGACTAAATAGAATATAAGTAGATAAAAATGATATTTTGGTCTTCTTACCTCGAATAGGACTTAATAGAATAGTCAAAAAGAACATAGGCTGCCCGAAGCCCGCCCGCGGCTCGGGAAAGGCTCGTTTGGGCCCAGGCTCGAGCCTAGTCCGAGACCCTAGGCTAGGGCCTGGGCCATTACTTTGAAGCCCGGCCCGGCCCATCGGCCCCGTTAAGGCCCATTCAAGGCTCGGTCCGAGGCCCGGCCCGCGCCGAGGCCTAGTGTCTTTTTTTGTGGAAAATAATAAAATTTTGGTAGAAAAAATTAAAAAAAATGACTAGGCCCGCCCAAGCCCGACCCAAGCCTGAGGCTAAGCCCAGGCCCATCGGCCCGACTCGAGGCTCGACCCACCAGCTCGGGCCCGGACCCAAACGAGCCTGCCCTGGGCCGTAGGCAGGCTTCGGGCAACGGGCCAATTCTACATTCCTATCAATGTGCATGTGTAACATGTCAATGTGAATATTCACATTGTTAACAGGCCGGGCCGGGTCTACCCCGGGCCGCGGGCAAGCTTCAGACAGCGGACAAATTTTACACTCATATCAATGTTAATGTTAACATGTCAATGTAAATACTCACAATGTCACGGGTCGGGCTGCAGTCGGGCTTCAGGCCGCCCACGGGCTGCGGGCCACAGGCCAATTTTACACTCTTATCAATGTGAATGTTAACATGTCAATGTGAATATTCGCATTGTCAACAGGCCGGGCCCGCCCTAGACCGCTGGTCAATTTTGTACTCTTATCAATGTGAATGTTAACATGTCAATGTGAATATTCACATTGTCAACGGGCCGGGTCAGGCCCGCCCCGGGCCACCCACGGGCCGTAGGCAGGTTTCAGGCAGTCACGGAGTGCAGGCTAATTTTACACTCCTATCAATGTAAATATTAACATGTCAATGTGAATATTTACATTGTCAACGGGCTGGGCTGGGCCGGGCCCGCCCCGGGCCGCGGAAGGGGTTTTTGGCAGCCCATGGGCCGCGGGCCAATTTTATACTCGTATCAATGTGAATGTTAACATGTCAATGTGAATATTTACATTGTCAACGGGCCGAACCGGGCCCGCTCCGGGCCGCTCATGGGCTGCCGGCGGGTTTTGTGCCGCCACGGGACACGGGTCAATTTTACACTCCTATTAATGTGAATGTTAACATGTCAATGTGAATATTCACATTGTCAACGGGCCGAGCCCGCCCCGGTTCGCAGGCGGTTTTCGGGCCTCCCACCGGCCAATTTTATATTCCTACCAATGTGAATTTTAAAACATGAATGTTCACATCATAAAATTGCTAACCGTTCAAAAAATATTTATAAGGGTATCAAAATTAAATATAAGGGCATAAGTGTCCAAGAAAATAGTGTAAATCAAGAAAAATGACTTTATGGAATAAAACTATGGGTGATTCTACTTACACCACTCTTTTACCTCCTTACACCCTCCATATGAGATTATTTTTTTCTTCCAAATTTATCCATGTGTGAAATTATTTAAAAGGACAAAACACTAAAATTAAATATATTTGATTATCTCCTTACACCCCTTGGTCTTCAATCCCTATTTTTTCTTTCTCAACTTTTCTTTTCTCTTACACATCTCTTTTGAAAAAATGATAATCATAGTGTTTTGATCAACAAAAAAAACAATAGATGAAGAAACGGTGGTGAAAAACCATCAAAAAAGTGAAACGGTGAGTTTTTTTATTAGTTTGGTAGGTTTTTGTTTCGATTTTCTGGGTTGGTCTGTGACTTTTATTCGGTGTTTCGAAATCGAACAAAATAACATAGTCCGGCATCACAGTGCCAAACAAAAATATAAGTCTGGTATCAAATTGCTGAATAAAAGATACATTTCCGGTAAATTACATGACAAAAAATATAAGTCTAGTAACAAATTGTCGAACAAAAAATATAAGTCTGGTATCAAATTACCGAACAAGCCCAAATTAAAATTTAGAACAAAGTGGCTCTGTAAATGTATAGCAACAGAACGCTAGACAAATCTATTTTTTCCAACAACATAACATTAGAGTAATTAAAATTCACTAGCATTCTATTATCGAACAGGCCCAGCACAAATTATTACTACATTATTTGGGAGGAAGTGGCTCTATAAATGTATAGCAACAAAATGCTGAAACAAACAATTTATTCCAGCGTTATAGCACTGAATTTTTGTAAATTGTTTCGCATTGTGTGACTAAACAGGCACTTCAATGTGGACTCTATTGATTTTGCTGGGAAATGAACTGAAATTATCCAATTGAATGGTAACATAATACTGGGAAACAAAATTTTATCCGGTAACATAGAACTAGAGTAATTCAAATTGTTTAGCATTGTATCACCGAACAGGCCCAGCACAAAGTATGGGGGTAAAGAGATGGGTTTTGAAGATTTTTTTATCATAGGGTTTGTTTTGGTAATATATTAGGTGTAATGAGAATTTAATTTTTTTTTAAATGGTGTAATGAGATAGAGGGTGTAAGAAGGGAAAAGAGTTGTGTAAGTAGAATCACCCTAAAACTATACATATATGGGACTAAATGGGTTAAAAAATTCCTTCATGGACTCCTTGGGTTAAAACACTTCTAAATGGAATTTATCAATAATTTTTTTTTTTATCTTTTTATTATTTTAAATCATATTACTTCCCTACTTTTTATACATATTTTTATAAAAAAAAATCAAAAAGTAAATACTTCCAACAGAACTCTTTATTATTTGGCTTTGTTTGACAATCAATTCTTTGGCCAAAAAAAATACAAAAAGATAAAATATGCTAAATAAGGCAAAATATTACATGTAAATTAATTTTTTGACTGATTCAGCTTGCTTGGTTGTGTTTTTTCCAAAACACTTTTCAAAAAATTCTATTTTCTTATTTTTCGTGTTTTTTGTGTTTTTACTGAATTTTTTTAATATTTTAAGTAATTTTTTTTTTACTTTTTAGACATACTTAGCGTAAATATACCTAAAAAGTAAAAAGTTTGTGAAAAAAATATTTTAAAAATTTACTAAATACCAAAAATAAAAAAAATACCATAATTCAGTACATTTTTTATATTTTTATGTATTTATTAAAATTTTAAAATATTTTTTCACAAATTTTTTATTTTTTAGATACATCTAATTAAGGTACATCTAAAAAAGTAAAAAAAATGTTTAAAAATTTTAAAATATTCACTAAAAACAAAAAAAACACGAAAATCAAAAAACTGTTTTCAAAAAATTTAATTCAAAAAACTCAAACCAAACACACTGATTCATTTTATTTTTTCTCTCGTACAAGTAAAAAAAAAAATAAAAAAAAAGCCAAATAAACTTTTATAATCTTCATAGCATGCTATTTTAGTAACTTTTTAACTTTTTATAAAAAGATGTATAGAAAAATAGTGAGAGTGATGTGATAATTTATAATAATTTTTAACTGTGTAACTAAAGTATAAACCTCGTTTGACAAGTGTTTGTTTTAACTTAAAAATCAAAAAATTATTAAAAAAATTAAAAAACCTATAACTTATACTAAAAAGTCAAATATTTTACTTTCTCTATATTTTTTACACATCTTTTCGTAAAAAATTAAAAAATTATTTCTAATATTAATTTTTTATCTCATATTTTAACTAAAAAATTAAAAAAATTATTAAAATAGCTTTAGACTTGCAAAAAAAATAAAATAAAAAAGTGAACTTAAAAAAAGTCGGTTGCCAAAGGCTGACTTTAGAGTCTTTTGGACATCGATTATAATCCAGTTTTCAGATTATAACCTACTTCTCTCTCATAAAAAGTAATTTTTAATCCGCTTTTAACTTAAAAAAAAAAAACTTTTAATGATCTTATAAAAAATAGCCCATTATTTATTTAATTTTTTAAATTCTGGTTGTGGGTTTGTGGTGGGTATACGTTACAACAAGGAGGGAAGAGAGGGAATGAACCAACCAAAAAACTCCCAAAGGGGTGGAAGAGGAGGAGAAGAGGATAATGGAAAATAGCTCCTCCTCCCAAAAATGAACACTATTACTATTACCCTTACCACTACTTCTTCTTCTATTCCTCTCCTCACCCACCAATCTTCTGCAACTATTTTCTCTCACTTATGTCCCTCTTCCACAAACCCCATTTCCTCTCTCTCTTCTATCCTTCCTCTCCATATTTCTTGCTCCAGGTACCCAAAGTCCAGGACATTCCGGACCCACAACAGCTTCTTCAACTTCAGTACCGGAGACGACGACGACGACGACGATGATGATTTTGGTCGGAAGAGGAGGGGGAGGCGGAGACGGAGGCAGTGGTGGTCGGAATACTCGCCGGCGGAGATGGACCAAGAGCCTGGGATTCTTGAGGAATTCATTGATAGTATTTGGATTTTTAAGGTAATTTTTCACATTATTATTTTCTCTGCTCATATTTTACTTTTTTTTTTATTTTTTTTCAAAATGATGGTTCAACCAGTAAAAAGCATTAACGCTGAGAAAAAAGAGAGATTTTTATTTATTGTTCCATCTGTGGTTAGAATCTGTAGTCAATCCTATTTTAGATAGGGGCAGTTGATAATTGAATATGATTTTTCCAATTATTTTCATATTCGTAATAGTGCAAAAAGAAAGCCCTTTTTTCTAAGTAACTAAATTCCCTCAATATGAATAGGAAGTGCTTTTTGTTCAAGTTCTTGTGGTGTAAAATTCTCATCAATACGAGTCAATTCAGAGTCAATTCCTCTATTCATACCTATTTATTGCTCCCAAAGAGTCCCCTGTTCTATGACAACAAAACCTTAATTTATGGATCCTATCGAGGGTTAAATACACTTTTCATTCATTCTCGTAGTTTAATATAAATTTCACTTTTAGGTCTTATCATTTTAAATCGAATAATTTGGTCCTACACTTTTAAATTTAGTTTCAATTTGATCTTTCAGTTGAAGCTGGCAGTTAAATTTTGATGGAATGATCAGATTGAAACTGATTAAAGTGGGGTGACCAAGTTGTTCAAATTAAAATAATAAGGATTAAAGTGAAATTTAGGTCAAATTATAGGGTGAAATGTGTAATCAATCCTATTTTCAACATTTGATGTACAATTCATACAGAATTATGTTATGGCAACTGTTCATTACAAAAACACCACACAGTTGTTTTTTAATCATCTGTTGTTGTTGTTGGTGATGGTGTGTGTTTTTTGAGCATGAATTTGGTATAGCTATTGGGAATTTTATAACAAATTGGGTTTCTTTTGGTCTTTTTTCCATAATATAATAATTACTGAGCTGCTAAAACTTTTTATTGGCTGTGATCTATCTAGTAATTTAGAGACATCCTTTGTGTCATTTGAATTCTTGAATAAAATGTTAATGTTGTTTCCTTGTTTGCAATAATCCTTTAAAAATTGAGCTTATTGTAAGTTAAAATTTGATAATTTATTAGTAGAAGCTAAAAAGTACCGCTCTCAGAACAAACAGTCTGACACATAAGCCCAAATATAGTTTAAATTAAGCTATAAACACCCCCAAAAGCTACAACAAACACACCCATCGTCTCCTATATGGCACTAATCCATTGCTAGATTTTTTTTTTTTTTGTCGTTTACACAAATGCTTCCTTTCTAATAATTTTTATTGGTAAAGAGGAGCAGAGATTAAGACTTAATGCTACAACTGCTAGGACATGATATAAGAGGAAGAAGATGCCATAAATAGATAATGTTAAGCATGGGTTGGATACCCTTTAAAAAAGCAAAATGATAATGGCTTAGTAACTTACTTTTTCCTTATATTTTCTTTGCAATTGGTGTACAGTAAATCTATACAGAAGGCCTGCTTCTCTCTAACTAAAAACCAAAGGGAAGGAAATAACTAGAGCTTAAGGTGGAGAAACTTGGATGGCAAAATTACCTGATCTGATTGTATTTGTCATGAGCTGATTTTAATAGAAAACGTTTAGGAGGCCATTAAAAGGTTATGTCGAGAATAGGGGTAGGTAGGTCCAAACTGTCATACTTAAAGTATGAAGTTGTGTCACTGAATTGGTTAAGTTTAAAACAAAAAACTCGTGTGCAAAACCCCAAAAAACCCATCCCGTTACCATCCCTTCTACTAATTCTGTTTTCTGTATAAAAATTTGGTTGGGGTTTAATACATTGGTTATTTTATTTTTTTCCTCTTTTTATTTATTTATTTATTGTGTATCCTTTACTGTTTAATTTGGAGAGTATGAGTGGTGGTATTTTATGTGGATACATGTTCAGGTCCTAAGTACTATCGTGATATTTTCTCCTTTCTAACGTTTCTAGATGTTACTTGATTTGCTCTTACAACTTGCTAGTGTTCTCTAGACTCTCTTATCATTTTAGCAACTTATATAGTAGCCTTCTATGTTTTCATGCATATTGAGGCAGAGCCTTTTAAACAATACAGATTCTTCCCTTTGATCCTCTGTTAATCCTTCTTTCGTTCTTAGAAAATTCATAGTTGTTCTGCTGTTTAAGTTTCATAACTTCAACCAATCTAGTGCTTCTCCAATGAGATTCAGCAACAATAATGTGCAAAAAAGTTCCGTATACTTTTTTTTTCTTCTTAGACTACAATTTTTTCCTGATACAATTAACAGAGAAGTTGACGTTCTGTTTTGTGATAGGACAACAGAATGGTGACATGCAACCTATCAATCTAATGCTTCTCCAATGAAATTAAGCAACAATAATATGTAAAAAATTATTTACTTCAGTACATTTCTTCTATTTTTCTTCAATGTTTCTTTTTTGTTTTTTTAAAAACTCCCAACAGTTTGCTGATATAATTGGCAGACAAGTTGATATTCTATGCCTTGATGTTAAAAGGTTCTGTTTGGTATTTGAGTGTTGTGAGCTGCCACTTTCAGCTTTGTTTCAGCAAAAGGCAAGGCATCTTTGCTTGGAAATCAAATTTGGCATTTGAGCGAATCCCTTGCTTTTGATTTAGAAGATTTAATATGTCATGTTTTAGAGAGTACTTCCATTTAATTTTCTTCATTTAAAAATTTTAATAAGAAATTCACTCTCCATAATCAATTTTTTTTTTTTTTTTCCGAACCCATAATCAATTTTTTGTGGTAAGGCCACTTAGCATAACAAAAGAGCAGAGCAGTTGGCTTTTTTTTTTTGATCAGCAACAAACAAAGACATATTAAGGCACAAGGCCAAGAAAAATGAGGATACGGCATCCTCTACAAGGAAGATGGAAAACCAAACCAAAAATCAAAAGAAGATACAAAGAGATAAACAAACTAAAACTACACAATACAAACTGACACCCAGTCTTTAGCAATCAAAAAAAGCGGAATCCCTTGGAATACTGAGCTTAAAGAAACAATCTATAATTTTAGTTGTTTGACAGGCCTATGTATTAATTTATTCTGTGCTTTACATATTTTCTCTTAACAAACGATGTTGTTGTCTGCCTAGGCTTCTCCCTACATGTCACTTATTGCACATTCAGATACAAGGCTCTTCACCTCACGAGTGCTGTCTAATATGTACTGCGATTATGTTTTGTAACATACTCTGTTGCTTCTTTTTTTGGTATCTGTGGCTTCTATGAACTTAGCAAACCCTCCAGTTTATACGTTTCTTTATCCGACTGACAATTTTTCAATACATAGTTTACTCTTTTGGGGCCATTGCTTTTCGATAACTCAACTCTTTTTACAAATATGAGTTATCTCTGAAAGGATGAACTGAGATTCCCAATAACTAACATTTGAGTTCGAAAATGTTCATTTGTGCACCTTTGAAAATGTTTTTTGAGAAATTACATTATTCCCTATTAATTCCACATCGGTTTATGAGCTATAAAGAGTTGAAAATGTCGGAATAATGATATTTCTCAATGTTTTACCAAATTGACCAGTGCAGGTATTTGGATCTTATGGGTGGCTGCTTCCAGCCATCGTCATATCATTGCTACTAACAACGGGTCCAAAAGCTTTCCTCATGGCCTTAGCACTTCCCATTGGGCAGTCCACGCTCACTCTAGCATTCAAGAAATTGAAAGGCATTACACAAAACAACCCTAAACGCAAGACCAAGACTAAGAAGTCACAACGTGCCAACACTGTAAGTGATGTCGAGTTAGAAGAAGAAGACGAAGAAGAAAGCGGAGGGACCAGAAAGGTGGCAAGAGGATATCAATCGTGGTTATCTAGAGACGATGCATCCACTTTTGGGGGATGGGACGAGCTTGATAGACTGAAGGAGTTTGATATGGGATCTTCTAGAAGGTCAGCTCGAACAGGTCGGTCAGGAAGGACACGCACAGAGAAGGGAAAGTTTAGCGGCAGAGTGAGAAAAAGCGACATGCCCTTATTGTTGAGGTTGTTGATTGCTGTATTCCCATTCTTGGGTTCATGGACTAGGATGCTATAACAATCCCTTGAATCAGTGTAAGTATTTTTTCGTCAATTGGGTGACAGATAAAACCTTAAACCCTGAATTTAGAAATATCATGGCACTTACATTATACTGCACATTCACTGTGTAATGTGGTGTTTTATGCTAAGCGCAAGTCGATCAATGCCAGAATCAAGATATTAATGGATGTTTCTTTGAGAAATGCTGCTTAAACCATTTCCCAATTTTGAAGGATAGAACCTTTCAATGATATTTTTCTGCTTTAGTCAGCTCATTGTATATTTGCTTGAACATTGTTTGTGGTAATAATACAGATTTAGAGTGTCCTACAGATTTTGGCATATAGTGTATTGCTTTTAAGTCACATTTTTGTTTTTTGTTTTTAATATTTTATTTTTAATTTGGTCTCAGACCATCTTTTTGTTGTTTCTTTTGACCACTCAAATAAGAAGTTTGCACGCTCAATATCGAATGTCATCAAAAACATAAGTGAATTTTTTCTTCACATCTATTAGTTGTAAGAGATATTGTTTGTAAGAGAGATGGTGAAACAAGGTGGGGTATTAAAGTCAGCTCATCAACAAGAGTACAAGATTTAATTATTTTAACTGAATTATGTTGTTATTAGGGTTGGCAATTAAAATGGATATGGTAAATTACATTGATCTCCTTAGATAATTGAAGAAAGAGAAATGATTTTTCCCCCGAATCCCCTGAATCTGAAGAAATCGAAGTCAACAGAGAGAGAGGGAGAAAGAGAGAGGAGAGGAGAGAGGGAAACAGAGGGAGAGAAGAGAGAAGAAGAGAGGAGAAGTTTATAATAGTATAGATAGAGAGAGAGAGAGAGGGGTAATGGGGATTGAAAGGGGGAGGAGGGGATTGGTGGAAGATCTGATAGAGAAGGCAGGCGGTTGTGCCGTCGTGGACGGTGGTTTCGCAACTCAGCTTGAGAAACATGGGGCCGCCATCAATGACTCTCTTTGGAGTGCTGTTTGCTTGATCAAAGACGAGCCAAGTTTGAAACTGGTCTCTCTCTCTCTCTCTCTCTCTCTCACACTCATCACTCTTTGATTGCTTTTTCTCTCAACAAGGTCGGTCTATTTTATATTATAGTTCGGGCGTTTTTGGTTTATATGTTTTGATTATCTATATTATTATTTACAGTCTGGACCGTCTCCAGTTAAGAATTTTAATTGGACAGTTCAATTTTAGTTAATTTTGGATTTATTATAGATTTAATTTAATAATTTAAATTATTTAATGTGTAAAATTTGATTAATAATCAACAAGTTTTTCAATTAAATGGTTTGAATCATTGATTTGATTTTAATGATGAGTCTACATAAGCTGAGCTAACTTTAGCTCGGCACAATCCATCTGATGGTCAAGGATTGTGCAGTTTGGTCAATGGCAGACCGATGTAATGTAAGTCGGTCGGATATTTATAGCTGAACAGAGTGTTGTTGCCATATCACTTGGCATGTAGTGAGGTAGGTATTCTAAGGATAAACATTGTCCTTTAATAATGTGACTCCTAAGAAGACTTTGCTGAGGAGAGTTAGAATCCTAATAGGATTATGTCACGCGTAATCTATAAAAGCTCATGACAGAACCTAATCTCAAGTATTGCAATTCTAACTCTTGAATACGCAGGACTTTTTGTCTATTATTTATTTGTTGACTCAGGCATCGGAGGGGTTTCCGGCACACACTCGCCGGCTAACTCACGTTTATATTCTCAAGTGATAAGACGACGATGTTTGGAGGAGTACAAACTTGATCAACAAGATTATACGAGGATGATTATTTCGTGCTTGTACACTAATGATTAAAAAGTATATGAGAGATAAAGCTGACTTAGATATTTCAATAGATTGCAACATTATTGTGTTTAAGAAATAAGTCTAATTTAAGGGCTTGAACAACACTACTCATTGTTTTTTTGATAATTAGGTGTCTTGATTAGTTTGTGCACATATTGACTAATTCCGAGAGCATGAATGATGAAGTTAACAACCGGAAAGTACCCCAACTACCAGCCTCATCATAACTCAAAATAAATAAATAAATAAATAAAAATATGGGGACTTACAAAAGCTATAGTTTATATACAAGTTCTGTATTCCATACACAAGGGACAAATACAAATGGAAAATTCACCTTTCCATTTACTCACAAATTTCCAATTTTTCTCAGATGCTTGCCAATGTTTTCTTGCAGCAGTAAAAAGAATATAAGAGTTTACAGGTTCATAAAAAGCTCTTTGTCATTGTGAAAATAGCTTGACTCTGTTGAGATAGCAAGCAGAATCAGGGTCCTGGAGGCATCTACAAAAGCCCTTATCATCCTTTGGAAAAGATGCTGGTAGAGGATGGTCTGGAATAACACCAACCTAGAATATGATTCATAAAAAATAAAAAAGTAAAGAAGTGGGAAGGAATTATGCATCAATACTGTTTAAAACACGAGCATTCAAAAGCAAGCGAGAGAGACATGAGATTCAGCAACAAACCTTGTTGATGTCAGTGTGAGCAGGTGTTTCATATTGAGCGACTGTAACAGCCAAGCCAGAGCCATCAGATAGCTCGAAAACTGACTGAATCTTGCTGTGGGAAGGGGAAGATAGAGCCATAGAGGGTCACATTAGACATGGATCATAATACTTCAGATGATGTAGAAGCAAAAATGATTATTACCCTTTCCCATAAGTGGGTTCTCCAAACACCATTGCACGTTTATTGTCCTTCAATGCACCAGCTAAAATTTCACTCGCACTTGCAGTTCCTTTGTTCACCTAAAAGAAGCATTTAAAATAAAGATCAATAATTCTTACCATATTTTTTTTTAATAAGTAATTTTCATTAAAAAAGGACCTTTTTTTTTTTTTTTCGAAATAAAGTCCAAACACACACATACACACAGAGTGAGAGATGATACTGACTGAAAGGAAAAACCTGAAATAAGGATCACTAGAAAAAATTTCAGCTTAACAACAACGTCTACAGAAGATCAGCTATTGTTCAAAATAAAATAGCAAAAAGGCCTTTATGTAGTGTTTGGTTCACTGAAATGAAAAACAATGGAATGAAATGGTCATATTCCTTGTGGAATGACTATACAATGATAAAAGATAATTCTATTTGTAATATATTTTTCATCATTTTAGAGAACCAAACTAGAGAATCAACATTATGACAGAATAATTATTCCATGTCACTTCATACCAGTAAGGGAAAATGTACCAGTTCCATATATTAATTCACAATTAATGGAAAAAGAACAATGAATTCATGATTACTCAATACGTGAAGTACCCAGAAAAAAGAAAAATAAAGCAGCATCTAAAACGCAGTAATGGTAATCGAGCATCAGATTGTGGAACTCTGCTTAGGATATACCATTTCGAGATGTACTAGTAATATCTAATGAGAGGACATTTTTAAAATATTTGTTAGTACCTACTGAGAAGACACTAAACCTAATATAAGAAGCCAGAGAATTAAGCTATTTCGAGAGACATTAAATCAAGCGTAAAAACCAGAACTTTTCAGTGTAATCCAGCTTTCAGAATATAACTGTCACAACATTTTTTGCCAATTTTCTCAAAATCCCAACAATCGTTATCATAAAATCAAATCAATGAAAAAAAATAAGTTGGCATACCAGCACGGCAAGGGGTTCTACAGCTGCTATCGCATTGCTTCCGTCAGTGTCATATATATCACGAACACCTTGACTATCGCTAATATACACGATGACACCTTTCTCTAACCTGGTTAGCAATAGCTAATCATGAGAACTTGTGCTGTGTAATTTTCATTCAACGGTTGGAACCAGAAATGGTTAAAAAGGTAAATGTAATGAATAGAAAACATGGTGCTATAAGCAACAAATCAAAATTAACTACACAATTGATTTAAAGCTGATATTCAAAAAGCAATAGCCTTAGTCATTATCCATAAACATAAGGACAGACAAAATGATTCACAATTGACTTGAAAAAGATATAGGATCAAACAGTTAACCAATCGAGTCACACAGGCAATATTGATCCTTCTATGGAGCTTACCAAATCTTGGCAATCTCAATTCCTTCCGGGAAAAGACCACCACTGCACCAAATTTAATCTTTCAGAAAACCTGGTAGAGGGCAAGTGTAAGTTGAAGGATGTTCAAAGCATATCACCTATTATCCCGAAGGTCCAATACAAAAGCATTAACATTGTTTCTCCTTAAAGTTTCAATGGCTTCCCTGACAGCACCTGCAAGTGATGTATATTTTCAGAACAATAAAAATGTCTAAAGCTTAAAGCACCTCACGAAAGCTTACTAATAGAAAATAGGGGAAATTACAAAAAAAACTCCAGGGTTTTGTGTATTTTTCAAATTAAACTCTATAGTTTCAATTTTGACAAATTAAACGCTAGAGTTTCTTCCGTGTTTCAATGTGAACTCTCCGTCTATATCCGTTTGATTGAACTAACGGAATCTAGGCAAAATTCTCAGATTCAAGCATACATGTTCAAACACTTGTATCTCCTTCGTCGTAACTTCGTTTCGCCTTATTTTTACGTCGTTGGATTCACCTCATTACCTAGTTTTCATTCCATCCCTTATACGGCTTGTTCCACATCTTTTTGTGTGCCTTTGGAACTTCGAAAGTTGGAAAAAAATAAGGGGTATGTTTGGTTTGCATTTGGGAGATGAGTTTTAGAAAAAAATTTCTAAAAAATTGTTTGGTTTGAGTTTTTCTCAAAAAATTTCCAAAATCACTTTCTCTCTCTTACACATCAATCAATCACTTTTTCTTTCTCCTCTCTCCTTCTCAATCACTTTTTTTCTCACACACATCTACTCAAATTCTCCCAAAATATCAAATCATTCCAAACTCCCAAAAAAATAACTCTCCCAAAATATACAACCAAACAAACCAAAAAAATTTCTAAACTCTCTCTCCAAAATTTTTGTCAAAAACAACTCTCCCAAAAACAAACCAAACAAGCACAAGATTTTTCTCTCTTAGGAAATTTTTTTGATTTAAACACACATGTTCAAGCACTTGTATCTCCTTCGCCGTAACTAGCTCCAAAAGTTGGCCAAAAATAAGATTTTTCTTTCTTTGGGCAAAATTTTCATATTCAAACCCACATATTCAAGCACTTGTATCTCCCTTATCGCAATTCCATTTTGCCTCATTTTTGCTTTGTTGGATTCATTTCATGGCCTAATTTTCATTTCACCCCTCATGCGCCTTATTCCACCTTTTTTTGTATGCTGTTAAAGCTCCAAAAGTTGGCAAAAAATAATTTTTTTTTTTTCCTCCTCTATTTTCTATCTCGATGCTTCTTCCTTCCTATTTTCTTTCCACAATTATTCTCTTTTTTCCTTTTCCTTCATGGCCCTTCCACCGAGCTCGTGGTGGCCACCGAACCTCCGACGGTGGCGGTGTGATCGAGTATGAACGTATATGACTTACAAGAACGGAAAGAAACATAAGAGTAGGGGAAGGGCCATGAAGGAAGAGGAAAAGAGAGAATAATTGTGGAAAGAAAGGAGGAAGGAGGAAGGAAGAAGTATGGAGATATAAGATAGACAAAGAAAGAAAGAAAGAAAGAAAGAAAGAAAGAAAAATCTTGGGCTCGTTTGGTTTGATTTTCTGAAAAAATTTTGGGAAATTTTCTCTACAAATAAGTTTTCAAAAATAATCAAACCAAACAAATTTTCTCAAAAAAATTTCTCAAAACTTGTAAACCAAACAAGTTTTCCAAACAAATCTCTCTCTCACACATATCAAATCAATCACTTTTTCCAAAACTCTATCTCAAAATAATTTTCCAAAACATCTTTTAAAAAAAACCAAACCAAACATGTTTTCGTACTTTTTATCTCTAAAACACATCTCTCAAACACAAACCAAACATACCCCTTATTTTTGGCCAACTTTCGGAGCTCCAACAGTATGGAAAAAGACGTAGAATGAAAACTAGGCCATGAGGTGAATCCAAAGACACAAAAATGAGGCAAAACGGAATTACGACGAAGGAGATACAAGTGCTTGAACATGTGTGTTTAAATTTAAAAATTTTCCTAAGAGAGAAAAATCTTATTTTTTTCCAACTTTCGGAGTTCCAACGGCACACAAAAAGATGTGGAACAACGCGTATGAGGGATGGAATGAAAACTAGGCAATGAGGTGAATCCAACGACACAAAAATGAGGCGAAACGGAGTTACGACGAGGGAGATACAAGTGTTTGAACATGTGTACTTGAATATGAGAATTTTTCCCAAATTCCGTTAGTTCAATCAAACGGATATAGACGGAGGGTTCACATTGAAACACGGACGAAACTTCAGGGTTTAATTTGTCAAAATTGAAACTATGAGGTTTAATTTGAAAAACATGCGAAACCTTGGTGTTTTTTTTGTAATTTCCCCTAGAAAATAACAACCACAACCCATTGTCCAGTACAAGTGCATAATTTTTTTTGAAGAATTAAAATTAGATCTCATTGGAAGTCATCTTCAAAAATGTCTTATCTGTCTGGAAAGCATGAAGCAAGCTCGATAGAATGCATTTTGTAGAACCATGCATCTCATGCAAAGAAAAGGGATTCCAGATTAATTTAGACATCTATATTACATGGTAACTCAAATAATCAAACATATTACTCAGGATACGGGGAGCTGGGTACCATGTATATCATTAACAATTAACAAGGAAAAGGAGTTAAGGTTAGTTGAAAGTACAACGATTTCCACTTCATTATTTATGAACAAAAAAAAAAAGGAAAGAAAAAAGAGAGAAGCTAAGGCTGTGCTTGGTTAAGCTTTCCAAACTCAATTCCATCCCTTGATTTGAGCCATGTGTTTGGTTACAGTTTGCAAAAATTGATTCTACACTCATCTGTGAAAACATGTCTACCCGGTCATCCTCCCGAACGTCCGGCCGGTTGACCGAAACAGTATTCATGTATTTTTTTTTTTGACACCTGTTATTTTAATATTTTAAATAAAAAATATTTTTCAAATTTTTTTAAAATTTTTTATGCGCTTTGAATAGAATTTTGGGTTGTGTGTTTGGTTATGAGTTGTAAATTTTTGAATAAAATATCATATGTCACATCACTCAGTTCAAACTCAATTCAAAACTCTTTTCAAAACTTATAACCAAACAAATTTTCCATACTCAAATCATAATTTCAAAACTCACAAACTCAAAATACAACTCTATTCTCAAATCATAATTCTAAAGCTCTGCCAAACGCAACCTAAGGCTTCCAACAGTTGATGCATACAGATTATCCAGTGCAGCATTTCTCCAATAACATTTTATGTCTAAAAAGAGAAAAAAGAAGAAGCTAGGATTCCCAGGCCAACAAGAAACAAGACACATTATACTCTAATAACTCTCTCAAAGTAAAAGTCATTTTATAAATTGGGAGAAGACATCTTACCCTATGATTCACTTGAGAATAAAATTTATAGCCAATCCAAATGAGATGAGTCTGTCTCTTTGGTAAGCTATACGCTAGGAAGTGGAAACAAGCTTTTAGGAAATTAATTTTAGATGTCACATTATCTAAGAAACTATGGCTGAAAGTCCGAGTGCCTAATTCCACAGAAATTAACTGTTACTTTACCAGAAGCATTTTGGTTGAATGAAGCTAGTTTGATGTATCCCACTCTAGAAGCATCCTTCCCCAAAGCAGGTATCTCACAGAGTCTCGATTGCACCGGATTCAATGAAACTTTCTCTCGCCTGGAAAGCAGCAGTTGGGTAATTTCTTATGTTTGTAAGATTGAAATATCCACATAAGCCTACTTACAGAAAAGATCCAGTGTAACTAAAATTACAGTTTTTCCCAAAAGCATACTTGAAAACTTACCGTAGCTCAGCTTATTTCAAAGAAGCATAACTAAGTACAAGTCTTACAAACTGCTGGTCCACAATAATAAATGAAAAAAATCCCTTCCTTAAAAAAATAAATAAAAATAGAAAGGAAGTTCAAAGCTCATTTGAGTAGAGAAGAGTAAGATGCTGAACTTACTTCAAAGATAGCTGCTTTATCTCGGGTCCACTACGAATAGTTAGTTCAACTGCACTGCCTTTGGTTCCCCTGCATTTCAGCCAATTTAGGAATGTCAACAAATCCATATAGGCAGAAGAAGCATAAATAAACACTTGAAAGTAAACAATTACATAGTAAAAGTAGTCAGACAAATCACATACCTAGTTGAGATAATTAGTAGTAACATATTACGAGGGCTTAAGTTGAACCTTATGAAATGTAATATGCATTCTCAGCTCTCCAAGCCTCTCAGCATTCAAATTCATAAGACAACAGTATTTAATTATGGGCAAGATCAAGAATGATGCTGCCAAGTCACTTGACAATAGAATTTCTGCTATTCAAAAGCTCTACACTTTATCGACAAGGGAAAAAGAAGAAGAAAAAGAAGAATCACCCTCTCTGATTTCCAAAATCCATAGAAACAAGGAGAAGAGTTACTGCTCAAAAAAGTGGTACATCTATCTATCTAAGCTGCTAGACAGCCAATCTGTTACCTACCCAACTAAGGCCCTGTTTTAGAATACATCTCACAACTGACCTAACTTAATGCGTAGAAACTAAACCAGAGAACATAAGACAAGAACTTAAAACCCAGATCACCCAGTAAGTAGTCACCTTATTCTTCACCATTTCCTCTGGACTAAACTTTCTTTTCCCCTGTTTCTTTGGCCCATGCACGCTGGAGGTTTGGAGGGTTAAGTTCCACAGACCTTGCCTAATTTCACCCATGTTGTATTATAGATTCTTGACATTTTTCAGAATTTAACCAAGGTAAATGCCTTCCACTTGCATGCAATTGTTTCTGAATTAGGGCCCCTCAAAGCCTGATTAGTACTAACTACTGTTCCAACTCATTGTGGTCCGGTGGACCTCTGTAATCTGACCCAAAGATTACCACAAGATGGTGCCTTAACTGCTCTGTGCAACTAATGAAACCTAAAGTTCAAAAACTGACATGACATCACAAAATTGCAACAGCAACAAGGAATGTTGACCACACACCTTGTAGGCAAGGTAGTACTTGTCTCTCAACCTTGACATGGGGGTTGAAAGCCCCTTGATGCCATGAAAAAAAAAAGAAGAAAAAAAATAAAGAAAGAGAGATTAAGGCCTCGTTTGGCAAGAGGCTATTTTAGCCAATTAGCCAAAAAGTTACTAAATTAGCCAAAAAGCCAACAACCCATACCAAAAAGTCAAAGATTCTATTTTCTCTCTACTTTTTGCACATCTTTTCGTAATTAGCCAAAAAGTCATCCCAAACATACAAGTTTTTTTTACCTACCTTTTTAGCCAAATAGCCAAAAAGTTACTAAATTAGCCTGTTTCCAAACGAGGCCTAAATAGCTATAAAATAGAAATTCAGTGCACCATAAGCTGTTATGATAGATATCACAATAGAAAAGTTAATGCACTTTTTAACTGCCAGTCTAAATATTTCATTTCTCACCACACATTGTATGCACAAGCAATCAGACAACATAGTTCTAAAATAAGGGTTCAATGCGAGATAACTTAAGAGAAGGAATTCAATAATAGTTTAAAACTGGCAAATGTACACTATTCTACAACAATGCAGCACTGGATCTCATTGATTGATTGTAGATAATATTTGGCGAACAAAAATGTTACATGGAAAACTAAGTGATGAGCATAGTAGAGAACTCACTGCAAGCGCTCTGCTGCATCATATATGCCCATGGTTTCTGTACTTGTGTCATCAATTTTCAGGATAACATCCCCAGACAAAATGCCAGCCTTATTTGCAGGACTGCCTGGAGCAGCTGAAATTACCACCAGTCCTGCACGTAATCCATCACCTCCTGTAGGGTAGCCAATTGACAGCCCTACACCTGTAAGAGCACCTTGTGTCCCTGACTGCCTTCAAAGGACATATTAACAGATTTTAGAGAGAATATCAAAAGACACAAAATTCGCTGACCCAGAATAGTTAAGAAAAGGCATCCTCAAGTCAAAGAACAAGATACATTAAATTAAAGGGGTAAGAAGAAACTGCCTTGTACCCGCAGACTCTTAAACTTTTCAGGCTCCAAAAACCTAGTGAAAGGATCATCCAGGGTGGCAAGCATCTTCCTGATTGCCATATCTGAATACAAATATACATTCCAATTTAAAGAGTTCTTGCATTTGATGGACAAAAATAGCAGTTATAACTAGTGTTAATGAAGGCCTAGAACAGGTTAAACAGTACAGGAATGAGATACAAGAGTTTGATGTGATTGCACAAAATTAGAGTTCTATTTTATCAATCACATTTCAAACCAACTTGACACAAAACTATTTGGTGTTCACTAAAACCCATTCATCACAACCATAACCAGCATTACATAGATTTCGCCTAGAAGACCTTTCATATTGGGTTAATAACAAAACCTATGGCCCATACTCCCTCAATATATTATCCCTCAATATATTATTGGCCAACACCTACATTAAACCATAAAACAAATTAATTAAATACACTGTCAAATAAAGAGGCAACATTAGAAACAATTAAAAACTGAGTTACATTAACTTGTTTTAGTGCTGTGAACATTTAGGAAGAGATCCAACAATCATGATTGCAGGATATCAATTGCCTAATAACAGTAGAAAATTAGACATGTAGGCACCTACCTTGAAAATATTCACGGTGGAATTATCATCCCTTTGATTTTAGTTTATGTACTTTGTAATTGTATGATAATATGAATTTCTTTTTTATTATTTTGTGTTCAAAATAAAACGTGATGCATTCTCCAGTGTTCGCATTTTCTTTGTACATAAAACCAACTTTATCCATCGAAAGTTTTGTCAAAATATGCACAATCAATAGTTCTCCATGCCTCCAATAAAAGAAGATTCTCTTCAGTCATTTATTTACTTTTTTGTTATTTTAATATAATGCCGAATTACATGAAATAAATTTGTGTACTACGAATGCAAACCCTAGTGGAACTACATGATTCAAAAAGCATAGAAAGCATACATGTCTCTTCTCGAGATTTCATTGGTTCATTGAGCAGTGCATTTTCTCTGTACCTAAACCAACTTTGCCCATTGAAAGTTTTGTCAACATATGCACGATCAATTGTTCTCCATGCCTCCAAGAAAATAAGATTTTCTTCAGTCAAGGCCCCTGTAGAATGGTAGCTTTCAAGTATTATGATGGAAAACGAAACGAAATTCTGGCCAAATTTTAATATATAGAACGATCTTACTTACAGGATGGAGTTTTGAAAACAGCAAAAGAAATTGTCATAACAAGTACCATTCCAACAAGAAGGCGGACAAAAAGAATGGACGTGTCTTTTTTAAAAAATTTGGAACATTTTATTGCTTTCTGAAGACTGATGGTGTATTTCCTCAATTTGGGAAGGTGTCCAAACCTTACTGAAAACAAACCACATTGAGATGTAATCTTTTTGCCATGCCTCTGTGCTGGTTGACAAAAGAACCTGGGTCTATAATCTCCTACAGAATAGAAAACAAGCTCACAACTTCTTGGCCTGTCACTGAAATCTTTACTTATATATGATAAGGAGTTCCTTAATTGAGTTTTCATTATCCCGAAGGGAAGAGAATTTTGTAGCCGCACCTGTGAAGAATCCAATTAAATGAGTCAGTAAAACGTTTATGACCACTGAATAACCTTCATATTGACATAAAACTATAAATCGGTATCATTTAGTTTCAAGAGAGGTAAGATGATAACAAATAAGAAAATTTAAGCACCTATCTAAATCTATTTAAAAAAAAATGAATGTTCTATTTTAATTAGCCAAGTGTTCTGGCTTGACAATGTTGTACTTATTTTGGTGGCTTACCAGTTTTGAAATGTTAACAATTAACAGTTGTTGACTACAGTAGTAAGCTCCATTAATTGTCTATAATATAAAAATATCTATTTGTGCAACTTTTGTGTAATGATAAAAGTTTTTCTATTTCTTTTTAAAATTTAACTTTTTTATAAATAAAAAAGAAAAAGAAAAAGTGTCATATCAATGGGAAGGCCTCAATGCATAGTTTTCATTCAGAACAATCGATATAGTCATCAACCCTCACTATGAATGACAACATACAGGGACAGACCCAAGATTCTAACATATAATACAAACAAGAATTTTAAAAAGAAAGTAAAGATTACAACATCAAATTCTACTGACATAAAATGTGAAAATAACATGAAAAATATATATTCATGTTGGAAGCATGGTTGTTAGAATCGTCCGATTCACGATTCAAATCGTGCTGTGGAATTGGAAATTGAGTGAATTGTACGATTCAATTTATGATTCATTGCAATTCTCTACAATTCACACGAATCACTGCGATTTCTATTTTTGTTTACATAATACATGAAACAAAATCGTTTTTGCCAAACTATGAAGATATATAGAAGAGATAATTTTCTTTATTTTGAACACCGTATATATTTTATATGTATATAAATATACAGAACTATATATCATATTAAATAAAAATTATGAATCTTACAATTCACGATTCACCATTTCAACAAAACGATTCACAATTCAATTCGCAATTTGACAACAATGGTTGGAAGAGCTTAAAGAATGAACCATATGCTTGCACTAAGAATGATTTGTTCATGCACATTAATCCAACCCCATAGCTTATTGAGATAGGTTGAAGCATGGGTGGCATGTTCTTGCACCAAAGTCCAAAAATAAGACAAAAAACTTAAGACTATAACTAGAGTCAATACTAGAAAAGTGCCCAAAATTTGAATCTATGATATTGATTTAAACTTGGCATGGTTTGAGCCACACTTGAATGAATGTGACCCACATTTTAAATTCTGGGTACTTTTATTGGTAGGTAATAGTGCTGGCCTGAATATCAGAAATGCCAAAATTTTAATCTATAGAATATAACCAACCACGAGTGAATTTGCATAGTGTACCCATCCAACAAACACACAAAAGGAGCTGATAGAAAATTGAACAACAAAAAATGATATGTATCACAAAAATTCAAAGGATATATCAATTTTTGAATTTGCATACAAGTATACCCATCCAACATTCCGCTTGGTTACCAAGAAAAATTTAGAAAAAACCGAATTCAGTATTTTTTACTAAATTTTTTTTTTTTTTTTTTGGAACCTTGGGAGAGAAATTGAGGTTTATGTGTGCGTTGGAGATGAGAAAAGGGGGAGAGAGAGACGAAGAAGCAGTAACAGAGCCTCCAATTACCACCATCATCTCCACCGAAAGGCACATCCAGAAGAAATTGAACTTTTCTCGATTTATCGTTGCCTAGTGGTGCTGGGGGCTTTGCTTCAGAGTGGGCGTTTACTTGTAAGTAGGATGGTCCAGTGGTGGACTCTTTTGTTTTGTGCTAATTCAGTTTTCAATTTTCACATTTCACTTTTGGGAAAATTCTATTTTTTCATTTTTATATTTTTTTTTTATATTTTTATTGAATTTTTTTTAATATTTAAAAAAAATTTAATTTTTAAACACACTTAACATAAATATACTTAAAAAGGTATAATATTTTGAAGGGTTTTTTTTTTTAAGGTCCCTCGTATTAAGATTTTATAGCATAAGGGACATCTAATATTTTCATAATGTCTAAGGTCCCTCAAGTTGGTCCAGAGAAAATTGATCCAGAGAAATTTTGGTCCAGATAAATTCTCTGAGTTGAAAATGTTGAGAATAGATTGATGACAATTCTCGGAAGGAAATGATCATGAAGGGCAAAGCTTGCGATTCAACATTAGGGAGTGGTTTGGAGATGCAACATGACATAGAGGTTGACGATGGAAATAAGATAAATGACAAACTCTATACTAAAAAATCTTAATAGCAGGGACCAATCCGGAGAAATTTTCAATCCAAATCAGAGAATTTCTCTGGACCAACCCAAAGAAATTTCAGTTCAAAGCAGAGACCTGATCAAAACGTTACATGTTAAACTATACAGGAGATGAACTTAGCAGATGAACAAATACAGTCCTCAGATGCAATTCTGGAGATGAGTTAGGGACACTGGGAGGGCTGTCACCGGTCGGATAAGAGCATGATGCTTGTGACTGGATTTCTCTTCCGACGATCTTCGAGAACCTTCCCGGCCTTCTTTAGCTCGTCGCTGGGACTAGATGTGCCTTCGCTGAAAACAATGGCGTCCACGATGCGACGGGCCGTTAGCTGGCTCTTCGTTGTCATTCTCCTCAGCGGCAACAGCCTTTTCGAGCTCGCAGCGAATGCTACAATGGAGAGCCGATCGGAGGAGGAGAGAGACGATACCACCAATCGGAGGAAGTGCTGCTCTGTAGCAGAGAAAGATAGACAAAGAGTCAAATTTCTCTGATATATGTTTAGGGACCTTAGACATCAAAAAATAATTTTGTGGATCTCTTTTATTATGAAAAGTGGAAGAGGGACCCTAGACTAATTTTTCATAGTTTTAAAAATATTTTTAAAAATTCAATAAATATCAAAAATACAAAAAAAAAAATCATTATATTTTTCATATTTTTATATATTTATTAATTTTTTAAAATATTTTTTTACAAATATTTTACTATTTAGATACATCTAAGTAAGGTGTATATATAAAAAAAAAAAGAGTAAAGAAATTGCTTAAATTTTAAAAATATTCATTAAAAATAAAAAAAACACACAAAAAACAAAACATTTAATTTTCAGAAAACTAAATTCAGAAAACTGAAGCCGAACATACTGAAAAATTTTTTGGGTTATGCTTGCAGTCTTTGCATGAGATTTGTTTGATCTATGAATAAGACATTTTGTAAAAATTTCAAGATTAATTGAGATACGTGTAAATTTGTTTGAACATTTAGTCACAAAAAAATAAAAAAATAATTTGTCCCAGTATTGCATTATATCGAGAATGGGACGAATCGGATCGGTGATTGGGACGGATGAGAACCAGTTACTTTTATAAATTAAAAAATAAATAATTGGTAATAATTATAGGGTTTGGTTATGGTGTGCAACTTACACCTTACACCTTATACCTTACACTTACACCTTTTGTAAAAAATTAAACCTTACACTTACACCTTTTTTGAGGTTGCACAACATGTGCAACCCACTTACACCTTACACCTTACACCTTATACTTATACTTACACCTTACACTTACACTTTTTGTGTAAGTGGCACATGGTGTGCACTTGCACACTTAAGAAAACTCCATAATTATAAATAGTGATTTATAATTAATAAAATTTAAAAGATGTAAAAGAAATAAATGATTGAATATGCCTTATTTGGGAAGTTGCTAAATTAGGGGGAAAAAAGTTAAAAAAATCATTACAAAAAGTCAATATATTCGCCATGCATTGTTACGCTCCTTTGTTTGAAAAGTTAAAAAATCACTATAAAAATCAATTTGAAGATGAGCTTGAGTTTTAATTTTATCATATTCAAAAAAATTAAAGGATGTATACAGTATATACATATAAATATAAACAAGGCATGAGGTTAGAATGGGACGGGAAAAGCAAAATCTATTAGAAAAAATACGAGTGGGACGGGAGATAGGGGGTAGAGCAGGCAAGATTGGGTTTGAATGAGTTTTTTCTTTTAATTTTATATTTTATTTTATTTTTATTAAAGATAAAAGGTAGGAATGACAACAGGTCTGAGTAGGGCAAACGATTACACTCCCCATCCTCGATTTCCGAAGGTAAAAAAGTTTTCGTCCCTGCACCAGATCCCCGACGGGGAACCCATCACCCCTCCCTCCACCTGCGCCCCCTAATGGGGATTGGGTTTCCCCGACCTTTTTTTTTTTTTTTGAATTTTGTTCAACACAAGAACAACAAATAAATTTAATATGTTTTCAGTATGTTTCATCATCATCATCATTAATAATCATCATCAACAACAATTATCAACAACTTAAAAAAAAAATTGAAATTGTTATGCACACATATATATGTGTAAATCAATGGTAGATCTATTCAACAACAACAACTAAAGATTTGTTCATTACACACACACACACACATATGTATCTATCAAATCTAAAAAAACCTTAACAAAATTTAGATCTAAGAAAGCTTTAACAAAAAAAGTTGTTATGTAAACCTTAATAAAAAAAAATTTTTAAAAAAATGAGTTATTCGTATAGATCATGTCATAGAGAGAGAGAGAGAAAGGGGGAGAGAGGGGGAGATCATCATTGAAACTTTAGATCAGATCTTCAAAATTCCAGATCTCACGCCCAGTGGTGGTGGTGGTGGATCTGGATCTTGTGGATGCGCAACTTTGACGATGAAGGTTCGGTTGGTGGTGAGAGAGATCATCGTTATCGAAGTCAAGGCAATAGGCGGAGGCATTGGAACAAAGAGAAGAAGGTCGCAATCGGAGACTAAGCCGCCATCAACGAGGTAGTAGACGGAGGCGATGAAATACAAAGAAGATGAAGAGAAGAGAGATAGAGGGGATAAGAAGAGAGAGAGAGAGAGAGAGAGAGAGAGAGAGAGAGAGAGAGATGAGAATGGTCTGAGGCTTATGTGAGTGTGTGAGGTTGTGTTAGGGTTTGATTTATATATATATATATATAGAGAGAGAGAGAGAGAGAGGTATAATAGTAATTTCAGTTACGGGGAAACAGGGACGAAGACAGGACTGGGATGGAACGATGCCGGGGAACGTATCACCGTCCCCAGTCCAAAAATTGTTGGGGATTTATTTTCGAATACCATCCCCAGCCCGTCGGGGGTATTTTCGAGGAAAAACCATTCTAATCGGGGCCCGCGGGCCAGGTCCCCGTCAGTTCGGGTTCAAATTGCCATCTCTAATAGAAGGGTATGTTTTTGGGTTCACCTCTAAACATATATTTCAAGCTTGGTATTGGCATTCAGCCCACCAGAGGACTCAACTCAACCCATTTTGGGCTTTCATATTTATTAAAATCGAAAAAATAGTAGCAAAATGGCCTAAGTTAATGCATGGACTTAGCAACTCAAAAGAAAGACAAGGCTCTAGTCTTGGGCTTTCAAGAAGGGTCACTTAGCAACTCAAAAGAAAGACAAGGCTCTAGTCTTGGGCTTTCAAGAAGGGTCAACCAAATAAGTCTATAGAAAGTCTCACCGAATAGTGAACACAAAAATGGATAGTTAAAAGAGAAATATATATATATATATATATATAGAATTAATTTTTTGTCATGATTTTGTATAATTGTGGATAGTTATGATTGATTCTTTTATTTAAAAATAGTTATTAAAAAATAATGAATACAAATGATATCTTGTCATATTATACAGTAATATAAAGAGTAAAAAAAAAAAGTGTTATTATTAGCACTCCATTAATTATTTTGGACTCTTTATTTCTTTGGAGTCCCACTTATAAATTCTAAACCTTTAAAATTTATTTTCTCCTCCCAAATAATACTAAAATTATCCATGTGAAAACATTCCACTCATTCAACTAAATGCACACCCCACACCCCAAAAAGCCTATTTCTAAAAAATCTTAACAAAACCCAAGAAGGTGATTACTACTTCATCTCTACATATTTGTTCATGACCAAAAACCTTAACAAAATCTAAGAAGGTGATTACTACTTCATCTCTACATATTTGTTCATGAACTGAGAAAATAAATATAGGGTTTTTTTTGTTATTGATTTAAAATTTTCCTTCTATGAGTTCTGTGATCTCCACGAGTTTCAGTTATCTGTTCTTGAACAAATAAGAAATGTTCGGTTACCTGTTCCCGAACAAATGAACAATGTTCGGGCCTATGTTCTCGAATTTCGATCATTTTGTTTGGGAGTTCAGTCCCGAAAAAATGACGAACAATTTTTTTATTATTTTTCCATTTTTTTTTTCAAAAGACTTACCCTTATAAGGTCAATCTCCTCTAAGCTAAGAATACCATCAAAGCTATGAACCTATTTTGAGCTTTTATTGGTGTACTCCTTTTGTCTCATGGAGTTGTGGTTGCCGAAAAAAATTTCACTCATTGTCATTGTCGGATAAGTGTAAGCAATCAAATAGTTGCCGCCGTTACCGCCGAAATATTACCGCAAAAGGGTTTTAAGGGTGGGTAGGTTTTGAAAGTGAAATTTTGGGAAGATGGATAAGTGGTGATGGAGATGAGTGCTCTCATAAATTCTAACTCATGATGTAGTGGGTATGTGAGCTTAATTGCAAGATGGGGTGTCCCAAAATTATTGATACCTTTTTTAATAATTTCATTTGAAGTTATTATTGTAATAAAAAAAAAACTAAAAAATAAAATATCCAAAATAATTGATGAATTGCTAATAGTAGTACTAAAAAAAAAGGTCCTCTAATTCAAAGTTTACAACACAATTTGACTC